CTTCCCCCATCCAGCCAAGGTCTGAGAGATGCATGTCACAACAGTGAGGTCGACAGACAGTGGACAGATCTACAAAGTAAACAAAGTCCAGACTCTACCTGTTTGGAAAGAGCTTAACAGTCAACTGACAGCTCAGGGCTCTCTGTCTACCTAAACCCAGGACAGCTTTCAACCTGAACAAGAAAGGGGACAGCAACTTGGAGGAAAGAGGCTCTTTCGTGAGAAGAAAGCTGAAAAAATAAACCATCATGAAGGGAATACAACCATGAAATAAAGAACACATTTTTTTTTAGTTTTTTTAAAGTTCAGAGAACTCTTCTATATGAAAAATGATAGCAAAAAAAATAAAATTTTACAAAGATGACCAGAAGATTTAGATTACAAAGATAAAGGCATTTTCAAAAAATAGAACCAAACTTTAAAAGGAGGAGAAAATAGGAAATAAAAGGACTAGACCAGGCAATTCTATAATAGCATGAAGTATTCCAGGAACAGAAATGAAAATGGGATGCAGGAATTATGAAAAAATGTTGCAAGAAAATTCCAGGTAGAAAAGGAAGAGTTTCTGGATTGCAAGGGTTCAAAAGCATCCAGAGATGTGGATACTAAGGCACCAAAGCCAAGCTCTGGACATGCCTGTGCCCTAGGGAGCAGCCTGAGTTAAGCAGCAGCAACAAGCAGTTCCCAGACCTTCAGGGTCTGAATCAAAGACAAATTCTTTGAGTTTATTTCATATATGGGACTAAGAAGGAAGTGAGCTCTGCACGCTGAGCACCATCATCTTCAACTCTGCTAGTGATCAAACCAGAGGAAAATAACTTAAATCCTAACTGAACACTGAGCCAAAAAATGGCCCAGTATGGGGCTTCCCTGGTGGCACAGGGGTTAAAGACAGAGCTATCAAGCTACCGCCAGCCACTGCAACATGAGTTCTATCCCTGACCAGGGAGCTAACCCACATGGTGTGCTGCTCCCCTCAGCAGTGTATTTCAGGAGATCCACCTGTTCTGTTCCCACTCTGTCTCTGGTGAATCCTCTCACCCCCCTGCACCTCTGGCCTACACACCAATTCTTGATGCATAAATAAATAAATCTTAAAAAAGAAAGAAATGGCCCAGAGACAAATCCAGGCATTCCCACATAGTTCCACAGCACAGGGACACTGAGGTCACCAAGCACCAGCAGGGAGTCAAGCCAGGGGAAAGAGCAAATGCCACCACAAAAAGAAAATCCTACAATCTTCTGGAAAGAAAACATAAGTCCCCCAGGCAGGACTGGCTTGAACCTCTTCATCAACAGCAATCAGAAGGGAATTAAAACAGTACCTGAAAAAATCTGAAGGTACTATTTTCTAGAATTTTACATTATCAACCTAGCAAATATACAGAGGAAAAAAAACCAAAATCTCAGTTCTCCTCCCATACACATCCAATTTGGGAGTGAAATAAATCCCAGGAGGAAGTCAGGGAACAGGAGAGCTGTTACTGACAGCTCCTGCCAATGTGGGGATTGGGGAGGTAGGAGCTTGGGGAGGATAAACAGGTCCAAATGCTGTGGTCCCTCTTTAGGAAGTACTGATGCTTCCAAGCATCCTGGGGAAAAGATGCTGACAACCTACAAAGCATTTGGAGTTGAATCAGTAATAGTACATATAAAACAAAGAAAATATTAAACAGCAAACCAATTACTGGTTCCAGGAAAACAAAAAGTATTGTACAAGGTTTACTATGAACAGCTTTAAGTCATGCATACTGAATAGTTATCTCAAAATTACATCACATACATGGAAGATGGCAAGCTAGAATAGGAAGGTAAGGAAAGAGTTGCAGCTACTGCCTTTGGAGGCAACCGTCTTCCAAAAAATGAAAATACCCAGGCAGTAGCTACAACTGGAAAATCACGAAACACAAAATTCTGCAGCACAAATACCAAAATAATGAGCTCAAAGAAATTAAGTGCTTGCCTCTGGGTAGGACCAGCAAGGGAAGATGTTTTGCCTGACAAAGCCTGCAGAGGCTATCTGACTTTCTTAACTATGTGCATATTATGAAACACTAAAGATTATTGAGCTGAGTCTCCACCTAGGGAGCTATCCAGTAGGTTGGCATGATTTTTCCATCAGATTTGTGAGCTCTTCCCATAAGCTAACTACACTGATCTGGGTGCTACGAGGCTAAAACACTTAAGACACAATTGCTGTCCTCAAGGACTAAAATTTTATGGGAAAGAAAATATACTCCTGGAAAAGAACTTAAGTGCAATACAAGTTGGCATTATGCTCACTTCCCTCCTCCCACCCCTCGTGACACAGAAGACTTACGTGGGAGCAAGAAAAGACTCAGGGCCTCAGGAGGCAAAGACTTCAAGAAAGTGGAGGTGGAATGAGGAAGACTAGAACTTGAAAGGAACGGGGTAAGCATCTCAAGCCATTTGGGAGCGGTAAGGGCAGTTTTTCAAGATGAGATCTTGACTCAGGGCGGGGGGCCCAGGATGGAGTGGCGGCAATATTATTAATAAAGAAAAGAAGAGACTAGAAACACAGGTTTCACTGTTGACTTACATCAGTGTCCTCAGAACTATCAATATGTTACATTGTAATGTTCTTTGCCTTAAAAAGTCTGCAATTTACCATCCCTGCCTCCATCCTAGTCTTAAACTCCTCAGAGCGAAAAGCATCCACTTCACAAGCTGGAACAAAGATTCTCCCAGGCCTGCTCACTCTGGCCTGTCTTCCTGTGCAGCTTGTGATTGGTTTTTACACACCAAGAATACCGCTCTTCTTTGCATTCCTAGACCACACCCTATTCTAGGCTGCCCCAGGACTTCTACACATGCTATTCTTTCTCGTATACATCCTGCCTAGACCTCCCTGTTAATACCTATACATCTCTTTCAATTCCCAACTCAAGTCTCTTCCTCAAGAAAACAAACACCCCTCATTACTCTTGAGTCCTGTCAAAAGCTCTCATGCACCTTTCCTTCCTACTGGTTTGTAATTTAGCCTTCATTTGGGTAACTATGCAATTCATGGCCCTCTCACCTTCTAGATCTGTGGTTCTTTTTTTTTTTTTTTTTTTTTTTTTTGGTGGGACCCTCGCTGGTGGCCAGGGATCAAACTGGCACTGCAGAGGCTGCAGGCAGCCTCACAACCCAGTGCTCAAGCGCTGTGCCACCAGGGAGGCCCGATCTGTGGTTCTTAAAGTGGGGTCCCTAGGCTACAACAGCATCTTTCCAGAGATTAGAAATGCAAATTGTCAGGCAATGTGCCAAACTATCTGAATCAGAAACCTGAGGTGGGAGGCAGCAATTGGTTTAAAAATGCTACAGGTGATTCTGACACACTCCACACGGCATTTGACTCCATGATGCCAAAGTCCAGGTGCTTTGCACTTTCTTTTGTCCCCTGGCACCAAGCATGGCAAGAAACAGTAGGCCACAGTAGGATTTTCTGGTCTAGTGACAGGTGAGAAACTTTTGCGGCTCCCTAGATGTCATACCTTATTAATTCTAACCCTCCTGTCTTAACTTTAAAGGCTCTATAACCAACATAAACCTGCTGCAGAAGATCTGGTTCTAGCTGCAGCTCTCAAGATAGGTGCTTTCTGGGTTCAAATCTTGCCTTTCTATAGTTTATCATCTGTGCAATCATCCACAAATTTTCCTGATTTTTCTTGGCCTTAATTGCCTCACCTCTAAAATAGGAATAATCATACTACCTATATATACTAGGATTGTTGAGATAATTAAATGAGAAGAGACTCGTGTGTGTATGTATTCAGTAAATGATTATTGCCGTAATAATATCAGTAATAATACGCAGTTTTAAGTGATCTTTACACTGGGTCTCAGCTTTCTTACTCAAGAGCAACCTCATCCACAGTTGATGAGGTCTCGCAAACCACTCACATCTAACAACCACGCCTGATCTGAACCCTTGCCCTGAAACCAGAAACCCTGCTTGAATTTCGCAGCCCATCTCCTGCAACAGCTGGGCTAGATTAGGTACCAGAGAGGCTGGGTCATGATCACACCTGTTTTAGGGCTCAACTGAAGTCACTTTCTTGAGTCCCCTCTCACCTTAGGAATCAGTTCGTGCTAACTCAACCGGTTAGCAGGTGGCTTCACTTCAGTCTCTCCTGGCTAAGCATTCAGACAGTTCCCACTAGGAGCTATTTCGAGTCCAGTTCTGGTACTTGGCAAAGTATGAACAGCAGCAATTAATACGCATATTTTCCCAACACATTCGACCACTTGCCTGCAAAATACCCCTTCTGCCCAGCCTCAGGCATTGGTCGTGAGTGATGCCAGAGAGAAGCCCACACACCAAAGCGCCTCCCCGCTGGGCCCCGCAGCCCCTCGAGCAGCGCCAACACGCCGCGCCCCGGGGGACCCCGCGCGCCCGCATACAGGGTGCGGCCCCTGGCAGATTGGGAAGGGCAACACTTAGCGCCCCAATAGTTAAATGCTGAGTAATTTTCCTACGGAGCACACACAGCCGGAGCGGCGGCTCAGCCAAGGGCAACAGCATTTTTATCCTACTTAACAACACAGCGGCGCGGCCGTGCCCAGAGTGTCCCCGCGCGGCACGCTCGGGAATCGCCGGTCGGGGATCCTCGCGGGCTTGTGGGGCGACGTGGACAGCAGCACCACGAGGAGGGGCGGGAGCCGCGGCCCCGGGGTCGGCCGAGGACGGCTGCGCCCTGGCGGCGCCGGGCTCGCGGTCAGCGCGCTCCGGGCACGGGCCCCTCCGCAGGGCGCCGGTCTCCGCGCAGGGCCTAGGCGGGCAGAGCTGCGCCCAAGTGGCCGGCTGCTGTGTCCACAGCAGGGCTTGGAGCCCCGAGAGACGGGTGGGCGCAGGACGCGCAGGTCCCACCCGGGGCGGGCAGGGGGACCGGCTGCAGGGCCGCCCGGGGCCGCGCACAGCCCGCCACCCCCTGGCCCGACCGCCGCGCGCCGGGGAATGAATGGGGCTCCCCCGCCGGTCGCAGGCGCGCACTCACAGGCAACGTAGGCGAGCAGCGCGATCCCCAGCAGCAGCTTCATCCTCCTGCGGTTGACGGCAGACACGAGGCGCACGAGCGCCTTGCTCACCATCCCCGGGAGCCGCGCCGGTCCAGGGCCCTGCCGCGCGGGGGCCCGCCTGCTGCACAATGCGCGGCGGCAGCAGCGCCGCGGCCCGGGAGAGCCCCGCCCCCGACGGCCCGCGCAGCTCCGCCCCCGCGCCCCGGGCTTCCTGCGAGCAAGGGCACTGCGCACGCGCGTCTCCGCCCCCGCCTCCCCCCCCACCGCCCGCCCGACGCGACGCCCCGCCCCTTCCACGGCCTCTCCCCGCAGGCGCAATTGCGTCCCTTCGCCGAGGTTTTCGAAGAAAGTGACCGAGGCGCGGGGCGGGCTCTGCGCATGCGCGTGCGGGGGCGCTTCCGCCTTCCAGTCCCTTTGGCGCTCCTGGGGTAGGGATCTGGGAAGGTGATGCTTGGACCACCGCGCGGCCCGAGGTCGGCCAGTTTCCAGGCTCTGCCCAACGGGAGGCATTAAGTGGACACCCAAATGTTGCGATGAAAAGAACGAATTGTGCAAAATTTGGCTGTGTCTATAAAGTTGTTTGAACGTCTCCTTCGGAAATTTGCGCAGTTCCGCGGGTTGATTTTTTAGCTTCTTGAATTACAACAGCCATTGACAGAGGCTTCAAATACATGTCACCTCCAGTACAGATATGGAGGTTGCCTGAAACTCTGAATTAGGAAGGGCTCTTGCGTCCAGGTGGAGCAGGAATGGTGTTTACTGTAAAGTTGGTGATGCCTATTTGGTTCGGAAGGGTGACACAGAGACTAAGAGGCTTGTGACTTTCGGGTTACCAGTTTTATTGCAAATTCCCTCTAGTTCAGCAATGTTATGCTGAATTTTAAGTACTAAAAATCGCCAGTAGAGGAGACTCTGAACAAAGCCTCCATATCATATAATGTATGCAGCATCCTCCCATGTCTAATCAGAGGCCAGCACTGCATTCCAGGGTACAATTACTAAAGAAGTGGAAGAAAGTCCGACAATAATGAGTCTTGGGGCCTCCCTGGTGGTGCAAGGTTAGTTAAGTCTCAGCGCTACCAAACTAGTACCAGCCACTGAAGCATGAGTTTGATCACCAGCCAGGGAGCAGACCCACAAGGCACAGCAGACCTCTCCTGTCTCACCCACTGCTCCCCTCAGCAGTGTATTTCAGTAGATCCACCTGTTCTGCTCCCAGCTCTGTCTCTTGGGAATCCTCTCATGCCCTCTCACCCCCACACCTCTGGCCTACACCCCAGTTCTTGTATGCACAAATAAATAAAAATAAATCTTTTTTAAAAATAATGAGGGGGCCTGCCTGGTGGCACAAGGGGTTAAGACGCAAACTATGAAGCTATCGGCAGCCACTGCAGCACAAGTTCAATCCCTGGCCGGGGAGCTACCCACATGGCGCAGCGGACCTCTCCTGACTTGCCCACTGCTCTCCTCAGCAGTGTATTTCTGTCAATCTGCTTGTTCTGTTCCTTGCTCTGTCTCTGGTGAATGCTCTCACCTCCCACACCTCTGGCCTGTACCCCAGTTCTTGTATGCATAAATAAATCTTAAAAAAATAACAAGGGCCTCCCCGGTTGTGCAGCGGGTTGAGCACAGCACTGTGAAGCTGTCCGCAGCCTCTGCAGCGTGGGTTCGATTCTTGGCCAGCCAGGGAGATACCCACATGGCGCAGCAGACAGTGCTTTCGGACCATCTGCCTAGTCTGCTCCCCGCTCTGTATCTGGTGAATCCTCTCACCCTCCCACGCCTCTGGCCTGTACCCCAGCTCTGTATAAATAAAATAAATCTTTAAAAAAAAAAATAGAGTCTTCCAGGCCATTGTTCAGAGCACTGTCTAAAGGCAACAGGGACAGGGCCTCCACAGTGGTGTAGCGGTTGAGTGCTGGGTTGCGAAGCTGCCCGCAGCCTCTGCGGCGCCGGCTGCTCCCCGGCCACCAGAGGAGGGTCCCACATGGTGCGCAGACCTCTCCTGCCGCCCGCTGCTCCCCTCAGCAGTGTACTTCGGTCCTTCTGCCTGCTCTGCTCCCCGCTCTGGCTCTGGTGAATTCTCTCACCTTCCCGCACTTCTGACTGTACCCAGTGCATGTATAAACAAACAAACAAACAAATAAATAAATAAATAACATGCCTCTATAAAAAAAAATAAAAAATAAAGGCAACAGGGACATCATCAGTTAATTGTGGAGTAGGTATCAGCCACTACTAAGTCATATTCTTCAAACTTTATGATACATTATTATACAGAAAAAAGCTGAAAACAATAATTTTAGGCATAAAGTAATGAGAGAAAATTCTCTGTGTATGTGAATGGAAAGCATGCACATCCATGAGATACTCAGAAGCAGAATTGCTGCTAGGCCATATGGCTTGTTGACAGGAAGCTGAAAAGTTTCCCCTTTTCCAATACACCTTACTTCCATCTGACAGGAAATGTCATAGTAAATATATAAACCTATGTTTTGTATGATACTGTTCCTTTAAGCGGTGTATAACCAGCCAAACTCTACATGGTGTACATGGCCAGGAATGGAGATGGGATGTAGTGATGCAGGGAAAAGATAAGGAGGAAGGCAGCAAGAAAAGGACTTCTCTTTATGTGTCTGAGGCCATGGACCTATAATAATTAGACTTGTCCTGACTGGGTTTTCTCATGCATAGCCAATTGGCACTTAGTAAGGCCCTTCAAACAGGCAAACAGCTGATGAATGAAAAACTTAAACGAAATAGTCTGCATCTTCATGTCCTCCACTTCCACATCACTGTCTGGACCCATAGTAAGGGGTAAGAGCAGAGGAAATTGGGATGTGACCAAATGAAATTAAACAGGACATGAGGTAATTGGCCATGAAAACACTCTGTGACTAAAGTAATAAAATAGGTAAAATAAGTACATTTTGAGAAGGTGATAATATTGAAGGACAACATACATTTTAGACTTGGGAAAAAATCATTTATGTTACAGTCATACTTGATATGCAGTAATATGATTGCTCTACATTATCAATATAAAGGAAAAGCAGGAATCTTGTGATAGTAGAAAATCTTCATTATAAATTTATATGCAAAACTCAGGACTGAGATAGGAGATTTTTAAATGTTCCTGAGACAACACTAAAGCATTTTAGCATAATGAAATATGGAATGGGAAGGGAGAACAGGACAGAAGATTCCTGTTCATTTTAAAGAGAGGTAAGTCTGCTTTAATATACAGGTTCAAGGTGAAACATTGATAAAATAGCAACCTAAAGAAGCCAAAGCCTTCTGCCTTACATACCAAAAGTAGTTAATCCTGAATGGTGGGTTTTCTTTTATTTTTTAAAGATTTACTTTATTGATTTATGCATACAAGAGTTGGGGTACAGGTCAGAGGTGCGGGGGGGGGGGAAGAGAGCATTCACCACAGAGTGGGGAGCTGAACAGATTGACTGAAATACAATGCTGAGGGGAGAAGCAGGCAAGACAGGAGAGGTCTGCCATGTGGGTAGCTCCCTGGCTGGTTATAGAACTCTTGCTGCAGTGGCTGCCAATAGCTTCATATGCTGAGACTTAACCCCTTGTGCCACCAGGGAGGCCCAAAGCTGGGTTTTCTTGAGGAAGATTTTTACTGGAAAAGAAGAAATGGAAAAGAGATATCCAGAGGTGAATTTCTAACAAAATTAAAACAAAGTAACACTACCCAAGTGTCCATCCACAGATGAATGGATGAACAGTAACAAATAGCAGATGCCGCAAAAACACAGGTTGACTAAGCAGTAGTGGCAAAAGAAAGTAAGTCCCTGAGAAAAATGTCAACAGGAACATGCTCCTCACCCTTTAATCAGTTTGTCTTCAGATTAGTATAGAGACTTCACTTTTATGTTACTAATGATATCTCTTTTACCATTTGAGAAGCAAATGTTTTCATCCAGTCTAAGCTTGCTAGCCATTGGTAAACTCATTTGAACTGTTAGGATGTTTACAATTGCAAATGACAAAAATCAACCCAGTCTGTCTTCTAAAAATAAAGATCTAGAATAGTTCCCAAAATCAAAGGAAGAATAATAGAAACTGTAGCCTTCAGGAATGGAACTAGATAGGACCTCAATAATGCTCTCTCGTTATCTCTCTCTTTCTCTCTCTCTCTCTCTCTCTCTCTCTCTCTCTCTCTCTCTCTCTCTCTCACACACACACACACACACACACACACACAGAGAGAGAGAGAGCTTAGTTCTCACTCATGCTGGATAAAATTTTCTCTAAAGGTGTGAAACATGGTCCAAAGGAGTTCTAGGATTACAGGGAGAATCAAAAAGCTATAGCTGGCCAACCTCCTGCTTTTGTATGGCTTAGAAGTCAAGAATGTTCTTACACTTTAAATGGTTTTAAAATAAATTAAAAAGAGAATAATATTTTGTGATGCAATAATTCTATGAACGTGACACTTCCATGGTTATCAAGTTTTATTTGGAAACAAACATGCCCATTCATTTTGTTGCTTTTGCACTCCCCAGCCAGAGCTGAGTAGTTGCAACAAAGACATATGCGATACTTTTATCACACTGTTCCCTAACACTGCCAATCATATGATGCAGTTGTAACCCAACAGCATTCCAGGTGCCACAGATATCACTATATTTGATTTTTTTTATTAGCAGTGCGTACTACACACTTAAGTCACAATAAGAAAAAAGAGTAGGGTGGACATTATTTATATGTCTGCCTTCAAGGCACAGAAGAGTGTAAGTAATTTTATTGGCTTAGATGGCAAAGCATTGTGTTTATCAGGCAACTGAAACCAGAACTCTGTGACACAAAGGGTTGTGGGAGAAGTGGGAGATAGCAAGGCCTGGAAGCAAAGCAGTGATGGTGGTTTCCCACCCTGTGCTTCAGAGGCTGGTCCACCTGGTCTGTAATAGTTTCCAAAAGCAGCAGTTGCTGAAGGAGCTCCCGCCAGCCTCCCAGTGCATGCTGCCTGTGGACAGTGCCTCCCCTGGGGCCAACCTGGCTGTGGTGGTGGCAGTGATACCTGCCCAGAGCACAGCCTCCAGATGGCTACACAGATGCCCCCTTCAGTGAGCTGGGCTTGATGGCTGGCCCAGTGCTAGCCATATTTGAGT